CGTTAACATTCGCATTCATCTGTACACATATCTCTCTCCTGCATTTTCAAAACTCAAAACTACGTGTTTTTTTACCTCATCTATCTCGATCAAACCTTCTTTCCAATTGTTCATCGATTAAAATATTAATTTTAATTTGAACGGTAATTTGAACGGCGACAATATTTATTTACATTTGATTTTTCTAGAATATCGCTTCATGAATAGGTTCCTAAACTCTTTACGTATAATCTTATGAGGTGTAATCTTATCTTATGAGTAATTATCTTATGGTAATCTCATGAGGCCACCGAACACATCGAATGTGTTCTGAATCTGGAGTTGCTGGTTCGACCGAGCGAAACAGGCCTGGAGCGCAAAGGGTTGATCTCTTTCGAAATTTCAAAAAAAAAAAAAGAAAAAAAAGAAAAAAAGAATTCCACTAACAATACGAAATCCCTCCCCCACGCAAAACGTTCGATACTCGATGATCAAAATCATCGTCTCGAACGTGAAAATCCTGTTCACTTTCTCGTTGAGGAGCGAGGTTTCGGGGTCAATTAAGGGTGCGCATCGGTGGGCGCGGAGATATCCGGGGCGGCCGCTTCGTCATCGTCCGGCCGTGCCCTGCGGTGGGCGGCCGGGACGGTGAAAAAGAGCCGGACACTTTTTATCGTGGCCCGCAATTATGATTAGCTCCCGGTGGAGGCGTCGCGTTTGCGGCCACGGCGATTAGGGCAGGGAGTTCGCCTCGTCAAAACCGCCCCGCGGAACAAATGGTCGCGCGCGAGCCACCCCTCTTTCCCTCTCCCTCTCCCTCTCTCTCTCTCTCTCTCTCTCTCTCTCTTTCGAAGAGAAGCCGCGGAACAGCTCTCCTCCAACTCCCCCCTCTCCCCTCTCGCCGGACCGCGCGACCGGTTGGGGATGAGACGAAGGGAGAGGAGGAGGAGGGTGGCGTGAGATTACGCAAATGAGAAATGACCATCAGGCTATCGGGAGAACTTCGGTGTCGGCTGGCTCTCGGCGTTTTGCGACATCTGCGACCGAGGATATACACGTCAGGACCACTATCGCGGGGGTCGCTGCAGCTTTTTTAAAGCGGAAACGGCGAGCACACGGTGATCACCTGAAGCGCACGCAGTGTCTAGGGATTTTTCTGGGGGGGTAGTGAAAAAAAGGATGGAGCGAATAATTTATTTTTTTTTTTTTTTTTTTTTACGCGTTCGCCTTCGTCGAGAAATGTTTGTTAAATCTGAGAACCGAAATAATAACCGAATAATAAACCGAATCCGAAGTATTTACAAGCGGTTGATCGGTAATTTTTTTTTTAAATGGAGAGAAACCAAAGTAGAAAGATACGAGCGGAGTCAAGTATGATTGAAAATATACGTGAGAAATTCTTGAATCGCAACGTTACATCGGCGATATAAATCAACGAGGATCGTTAACGAGCGCGTTGCTCGATCGAGTCGAATTATTCAAGCCCTCGGGAATCGTGCGAGCGAGAGAGAGAGAGAGAGAGCAGTGGCAGTAGTTACGGATAAAAGGACGCGAGAGATGGTCGAGGGCAAACGCGAGAAGCGAGAGGAGAATCTCTATCTCGAGTCTAGACTCGAGAAGCCGTTCCTGGATTTTCTCCCTCGGGACCCTCGACGCATACCCTTCCCCCTCCCTCCCAGGGAAGAGAGAATCTTACGAGACAGTGAGACCACTGTGTCGGATCTGTTTCTCCCTTCCTCGCCGCCTCAGGAGGATCTTAACGAATAAGATAACACGGCGCCACGAAGTTCTCTCCTCTCTCTCTCTCTCTCTCTCTCTCTCTCTCTCTCCCTCCCTCTCTTCCTTCGATCGGACAACGCGGTCACCGACACCGACACCGACACCGTCGATGATCCATCCTCTGTTCAGACGTCTCGATTACGCGGAATCTCTTGTCCCTTGGTCGCTTTTTCACGTCCCCTCCCTCCCCCTCCTATTAAATTTCCCTTCCTCTTCTCGCTCTCCTCCCTCCGCGGCGAAAGGGTTCACCGAATCGCGTGTACACATTATCGGCGCCAGACCGATCTTTACGACGTGTTAAGTATACCATCGATGGCCGATTCCATCATGCAGCGCGAAAGGGGTGGATGTTATAATACTCGTTTGTCCGGTACGACACGACGGTATAATACTCGAGGATGGAGAAGTGGCTGCCTCCTCGATCGCAGGGTCTCTTTGTTTTCCGGAAAGGGTATATATCGTTGCGATGATTTCTTATGGATATAATTGGCAAAAGATACGGGTATACAATCCCCTTTTGAATATCCTCTTTGTTGTAGGAATTTTAATAATCGTTTCCTCGCCAAATCTCTATATATAATGTAAATGTAATATTTCCAAGAATCGAACAAATTTAATTGTCCTCTCGATTATTATAATTTTCCTTCTTGACGAGACGTATTTGTTCCAAACGCTTTCGAAATAATTAATCCACCTCGTTTCCATTAAATATACGATCTATCTATCTATCTATCTTGCGATTATTATTATTATCATCGTATCAATTTTTCCAAAGAAAATTCATCGATTTTCAACGATCACGATTTACGTATCGAATCTGGCGGCAGCAGGCTCGCACGTATATTAGCGAAACATTTAAAAAGCCAATTAACTGGTAGTCAAAAGTGACCGCGACGGGCCGCGAAGTCGTAAATCATTGGGAGCGGGTCTAATTAAAAAGAAAACCGCGAGAGGGAGAGGGAGAGAGAGAGGTCGAAGTAGAAGGTTCGACTGGTTCCCGCCGCTCGTGGAACTCGAGCAAGGCCTCTCGGACCGACGATAATTTATTGGCGGGTAATTAGCGATCGTGCGAACGATAATTGTCCGCAATTTCGCAATCCCCGTGAACCGAGTCGAGCCAATAATATCGCCGGTAGCCGGCCAACGTGTTTTGCGTAACACGTCGATCCGAGAGAAAATCCGAGAGGTGACGAATGCCTCTCGACGCCGGGCGTTCGATCGGCGTGGGTGGCGGAGGTGTGGCGAGAAAGAGGAAAAAGAAAAAACGGAAAAGGGAGAAAAGAGGAGATAATGGAAAGACACTCGGATCGACGAAAAGTAATTTCAGATCTTCGAGGGGACAGTTTTCAGCAAGCAGGTGAAGCGTGTTTACGTCCTTTCGACGTTAATTCTCTTTGTCATAATATATTTATGACAAAGAGAAACGAAGGTACGTGTTACTTTGTTCGAGAAATAAAACGAATCTTTATTCGAGAATCCGTTTTTTCTTAAAAATTTTTTCATAAAAATTTGATCCTGCGTGTAAAAACTCCATCTGGACGATGATAAGGAAATATTTTTCGAAAATTTTATCGAATGTATTTCTTAAATTTTCGATCGATTTCTTTCTTAGATTCGAAAATAAAAAAAAAAAAAGAAATAGCGTTGAGTAATTGAAACGATATTCTATTATTCTTCTTCTATTCGATCGTTTTTAAACCTTCGATTGAAATTATTGCCGACGAGTGAATGAGGAAAAAATTTCTATACACTTCTTTAAACCTATTAATTCTATGAAAAATCTCCGATCTTGAAACGCGTATCGTTGTCACACGATTTAAAACGAGCATCCAGATCGAATCACGCTCGCATATATATAAAAACCGCTCAACTTGGCGCTTTATCGCGTATATCATCATCGACAAAGGAATAAAGCGATAACGAAGAAACACGTTTCCCTTCCTTTCCGAGGAAGCTTCTTGGAAGCGTGCAACGTTTGTGTACGTCGTTGTGTAAAATCTAATCGCGGGAGGAAGGGAACGAAACGAAAGGAAACGAAAGGAAACGATCCGCGGCCGATATCCACGGCGAAGAAAACGATGCTCCATCCACGAGACAAAGAGCGCGGTTATTGGATATACAGTCATACCCCTACGTGTCTTTACGATCGTCCTTATCGTTATCGCCATTAGTCACGGAGCCCGTGTTACCGGTATCGGGCTAATGTTATCGTTATCCGTTATCTGGCCGCGCTATCGGCGAAGTTCAAGCCTCGGTGACGTCAGTGACAGGAGGGGTGACGTTCCGGTCCCCTCGAGTCCGCCAGTGACGCGATTATAAAACACTGCTCGGCCTTTTTTCTCTCTCCTTCCTTTTTCTTTCTTTTCTTTTCTTTTTCTTTTCTTTTCTTTTCTTCGAACCGAGTCTCCCGCAATTTGCGCGAGTCGTCGGGGAGCACGGGTTGATTCGATTTCGTACAATGGAATGGTTGTTCGATGACGCGATCCGCGGAGGAGGAGGAGGAGGAGGACGCGCGAGCCGAGAGGAGAGGAGAGATTTTTCAAGTGTTTCGAGTGGCCGTTGCGAACGCGAGCAATAGGATATATAGGAATATGATTTCGAGTTGTGTAACGTACCGAGTCTTTCGAGTATCTTTTCTACCAACTTTTCTAAAAAAAAATGAAAAATTAGTAGGCCTCGAAGATGAAACAAACTTCCTCATTCCTCTGCAAAAATATATATATGTATATCTTTCGAGTATCGTTTCTACCAACTTTTCTAAAAAAAATGAAAAATTAGAGAAGACGAAACGGATGAAACAAACTTCCTCGTTCCTCTGCAAAAATATTTATATATATATATATCTTTCGAGTATTGTTTCTACAACTTTTCTAAAAAAAATGAAAAATTAGTAGGCCTCGAGAAGACGAAATGGATGAAACAAACTTCCTTTGCAAAAATATATATATATATATATATTCTTTCGAGTATCGTTTCTACCAACTTTTCTAAAAAAAATGAAAAATTAGGCCTCGAGGATGAAACTTCCTCGTTCCTGTGCAAAAATATATATATATATATAAAACTCGAGAGTGAAGGTGGGGGAGAGACGAATATATAATCCAGGAAGCGAGGAAATAGTGGAAACAATCGTCGATTCGCACCCTTCCCATCCCAGAGAGCGACGTTGAAATCGGCGGTTCGCTTTCCTTTCCCGTGGCGGAGACGCGCGCGAGAGGGAATGTTTGCCCGGCATTATCGTGAGGCGGCAGAGAAGCGGGCGAGAGAAAGAGGGTGAAAGAGGAGAAGAGAGGCAGAAGAGAGGCCTGTGCCTGTGGGGGACGCAGAGGAGCAGCCCCGGTGGAGAGGAAACGAGAGAGCGAGAGAGAGAGAGAGAGCCAGGGGAATGATAACAGGTAGCCATTGCCATGGGTGCCTCGACGCCGCTTGGAAACCAGTGATAGCGCTTCACCGCAACGGCGAGCATCTCCTCTTGCGGTTTCGTCTTACCCTCCTCCGTTTTAAACCCGCCCGTCGGAGACTCGAGACTCGTTTCCGCCTCGTCGACGGTTAACGCCGAAACGAACGGAGGATTTGCGAACGAACCTCCTCCGATTCTTCTCAGATTATTCGAGAGGAATAATTTTCGTTTCTTCCAAATGGATTCTTAAAAAATTCGATACCGTCGTGAGTTGAAAGAGGAAAGTGTCGAGTGGGGGATCGTTTCGAGGTGACGATTGTTTCGAAGGAATTACGCGGACGATTAAGTTGTCTCTTCGGAACGGATTCAGAATCATGGAGAAAATCTACCTCTATCCGTAAGATCCTACATTCGGATTATTATATATCGAATTCACCCGTTACAACTGCTTCCCTCTTAATTCTCGTCCATCTTCGCCGTCCAAAAAACATCCAAAAAATCCCTTCCCCTCGTCCATCCATCCACACACACACACACACACACACACACACCGTCATCTCCGCTCCGTTTCTCAAGATCCTTGGCTGTCGTCGAATTCGGTTCAATTATCCTTATCGAGAAGAGAGGGAAAGGGAGGAGAGGGGGTGGCAAGCGCGAGACGATTATCTCGTCGAATCCGTGACGAAAATTCGGGCTGCGAAAGCCTCTCGTAACGGGTGGGTGGCTCGCGCGCGCAATTAGCCGCCGGTTTTCCGGCGGCCGGGGTTCGGGTTTCACCGCGGCCGGGTCGCCACGCGTTGCGCGTGTGCGCGATCGATAAGATGCCGATCGTGGCGGCTTATCGGCCGCCCGTTGCCCGATAAGAGTAGGTCCCGGAGCTGTCGGAGCGAGCGCGGCCGGGCCGCGATACGCGGATTATCCGCGCGGCTCGTTTATTCCCGTGCCCGCCGCTACAACCACGACAATCGGCCTACTACTACCACTCTATCTCCTCTTCTTCCCTCCCCCCTCCCCTCGAATGTACAGAGTTGTTGCACAGCATTGTGTCGCACGTCTATATATGTATGTACGTCGAGGGGGTCGAGCGAAAGGGATTGATTCGATCTTGCGGGCCAATGGAGGAGTTTGGAGGCGCGCGAGGGGACGGGGGAATGTGTGAATATCGGAGGGGGGGATTTTGAAAAAGGGGGTCGAGGAAGATGAGATTTGGGCGAAGGATCGAGTGATAGATTATCTCGATGATTCTCGAGTGTTTTTTTTTTATTAGTGAATATTATACGAGAATGGATCGGTTCGAGAGAAATCGGTGATGGGGAAGGATTGGAGTGGAATAGCAATAGCTGAGCGTGTGTTGGATGTTGGGAAAATTTGGATGAAAATATTATCACTCTTCGAAATACTTATCGAACGAGATCGAGCAATAAGAATCCATGAATCGATCCGACGATAACGAGGACGCTCGGTTCGTGGCGACACGATTTTTCTCCTCCCCTCTTTCCCTCCTTGCCACGTCTATCGGAATGGTAGCCGACGAAACACGTGACCGGGGATATGTAACTGGGAAATCGTTGGTGCTCGGATAAAGGAGGAGGGGAATGGTGCGATACGATCGATGTTTGCAATGCGATCGATCGGCTCGCGATAGAACGAATCGCAATCAGGCACGGCGATCGCGATCGCGATAACGCGCGCGGTTGACGAGCCTCGTGCCGATAACGCAACGCCGATATCTCGCGGGATCGGATCGGATCGGATCGGATCTGATCGGATCTGATCGATCGATCGATCGATCGATCGAGCGATCCGCCTTGGAAATTCAGGGGAGGGAAACTGTGCTCGTTTCGTTGCGCCGTTCGTTGTGAGTCACGCGGAATTGCGTCGCGTGGAGATTGAATATAGTGGACTCATTGTGCGGGTGACGATCGAGGAAAACGGAATGTCACGATTCGCGCGTGAACGGCCACCACCACCGCGTCGAATTGGACAGCGTCGATCGGATGTGATCGGTTGGTGAGGATAGAGAGAGAGAGAGAGAGAGAGAGGATAGAGTGAGAAAGGAAGAATCCTGGTTGCGATGAGCATATTGCTGTGGAGGCAACGGAGGGCAGGTCAACTTAGGGCCGTCGAAGCCGTCCTCTCATTGACAGGTAAGTGATTAATCTATCTCTGTCTCGAGGAAAATGAGGAGTAAAGTTTCTGAGAAACGAAAAAGGTTTGTTTTTATAGGAGTGGATTAAAGTTTTTGAGCAAGTTTGACAAAAAAAAATGTAATCGTAAAATTGTCGTTATATAAGAAAGAATCGGTAATTTAAAATTTTGAGAAGTTTGTATACGAATAAAGGAAGATCGATTTTTGGACGGATTTTTCTTTCAGTTTGGATTGGTTGGTTTGAGAAAGATTCGTTGGATTATATTTTTTTTTTTTTTTTTTACATATGGAAAATGCATACTCATAAAAACAGAGAAATTCCGACTCGTACCGTTCCCGGCTATCACTCTATCTTCCTAACGACGTTATCTCGTGTACACTTCGAAATTTCCCACTCAATTATGTTCCTATATCCACGATCATCGACAAATGCTATAAACGATCGATTTAAAATTAAAAAACGATCTTTATTATAATATATCGTGATCTGGAAAATTACGACAACGATTCCAGCGGAGGTTAAATTTTTCCGAATTAAGTAAAATTGACCGGTTTTGAAGTTTTATTTAAAAAGAGTTACACAAAAATTATTTTACCTCTAAAATCAAAAATACGAAACAGATCTTTTTATCTCTTAAATAAATAAATCCCGATTCTTTTATTTCACAAACGGGCATAGTCCGCCAATCAGTTTAAATTATTATCTTTCCTCGATCGAACATCTTCTCGAACGATTACTCGTCTCTTCGAAAAAAGATCAGTCGAAAAGACGAGAGGAAACAATATTTGGAAAAATTTTATTTTCGAACGAACCTACTAATCGCCACACTGCATCAAATATTCTACCTCTATCCTCTAAACATCTTCACACTGTTTTCCAAACGAAAAAACTGGATCTCAATTGGATTCCAATTCGATCCTCATCTCGTTTCGAATCGTCTCGCGATTTCACGTTCGGTTGGGCCGATTCGAAAGAGAATGGGGGCGGGGGGGAGGGATGGAGTGATCGAAAGCACATGCGAACGAGGAGAAAGAAAGAAAGGAAGAAAAAAGAAAAAAAAAGGAGAAGTTTGGTTGTTGGTCTCGCGGCCTCGGAGCGTTAATGGGAGGAGTTCATTAAGATCGCGCGATTACCGGCTTATCGCGGCTAAGCGAGGCTCGTTATTTTGCCGTGACGTCACTTCCTCCCCGTGTCGCCGACATCGTCGTCCGTTGCCTCTCTTTCCGTGCTTCCACCTTTCCGCCCGACCTCTTTTGTTCCCCGAATTCGAGCTTACGCCTCGTTTCCTCCTTCCAGCATCGTTAGTCGATCACCCCTTTCCTTCCCCTCTCTCCCTTTCTCTCTCGTACATCTGAAAAAAAATATAAGTGGCGTTCGATCCCCTTTCGTTTCTCAAACTTTGTCCTTCCTCTTCTTCTTCTTCTTCTTCTTCTTCTTCGACGTGTGGAATTTAAACGTTTAATTATATAATTTTTCAAGGAATGAAAAGTTAAAAAAAAAAAGGAGGGTTTTTATAGATTTTGATCTCGAACAAATTTTCAAGACAATTTCGCAACTGAAGCGAAATCTTCTATCCTAAATTCGAAAATTCATTGGAAGAAGTTACTCGTAAGATTCTTTTCCTTATTAAATAAACGAGCGAGCCCTTCTTCGAGCCAGTGGAATAAAAAATCATTCTCGAAAAAAAAAAAGGAGAAAAAGATACGAGAGAGCGATTACGCGAGCTTAGATGGTAATCACCGGTCGTTGGAGCGATCATTGGCTTCGATAATCGTGGCTACGATCGAAATAACGATCTTATTGTCGAGTTAGCGATAAGCTTGATAAATCGTCTAGACAATGATTAGCGGCGAGCGTCGAGGGCGAACGGATCCAGATCGATCCTGGTCATCGATCGATATATATATATATATATATATCGTGACCTCGGTTATCTATGCTTGGACTTTGTTCCATCTTTCTTGTTTGTTGATTTCCCCCTATCTTGGAAACTTTGGCTACCGTGTACCCATACCGCCGCGACGCTCTCGTAATAGCAGTAGTAGTAGTAGTAGTAGTAGTACAATTACCTCGATCGATATCACGAAACGATTAACAGGTGACGTTTAATCTTCGGTTTCTCTCGAAAACGATAAACCGCGATACCGCGGTAAAGAATGAGGTAGGTCAATCATTCTAGCCGTGTCTCGGTGTTTGTTTGCGCGGTTTAACGGCGGCTCAGAATTTTATTGTAAAAGTAAACGAGGACTTTAAAAAAAAATTACTTCGATTCGAAATTACCACCGTATCTTTTTCCTCCTATCGATAACAGTAATAATAATTTTTCGATTTCATCCGATTAAACGATTCCTTCCTTTTCCTTTCTTCGAATTCAAACCCCTCCTGATCGATCGATCCCATAAACCAAACTTAACGTACACCAAATTTCCTCTCGATCGAGGCCACAGTTTCAGTCGTATCCACGTCCTTACGCGCGAAAGCGATCTTGGTGAGCGGACGCGAGTCGAGGCGATTGGCGGCGCGATTTCGAGGACAGGGAGAGGAAGGCCGAGGAGAGGAAGGGTGGAGGAGGAGGAGGAGGAGGAGGAGGAAGAAGGGCCAGGTTGAAGGAGTACGGAGAAGGAGGAGGAGGAGGAGGAGGTTGTGGAGGGAGGGTTCCACGAAAGGCAAGAACGAAATAAACGATAAGAGAGGGACGCCGGGTTAACCAACAAGCAAATTAACACGTGGGAGGGTCCGATCGGCAAATGAGATAATTGTGCAACGAGGGCTCCCCTCGGGGCTCCCTCCTCCTTCCCTCCTCCTCCGTCTGTCCCAGTTGGTCAGCCGGTATCGTTTCGACGTCGATTCATCCCTCTTTTTCCCTCTCTCCTTCTGCCCCCTCCCCCTCCCCTCCCCCTCGCCGTCAGCTTCACGAGCCACGAGGCGATCGAGAGAGAGAGAGAGACAGAGCGAGAGAGGGGGACTTCATCGATGGATCGATCTATCGATCCAACGCTCTTCTGGCGTTCCTCCTCCCCCCTTCCTCCCCCTCTCGCCACAATTTCTCTCCTCTTTACGGACGCTTCTCTCGTCCTTCGTGCCTCTCTTCATAGCCATCGAGATTATAGCGAGCGAGGGGCCGACAGCCACGGGCTTCTTCCAATACTTTGTAAGTTTATTTGTATGATCCGCGAATACTTTGTATCTTTATTTATATGAAATCGGATGGCGGATCGGAAGGCTCTCTCCCCTCGTCTTTGCTCCCTCCTCGTGTCGCTCGTGTCATCTCGCCTCCCCGTTTCCTCCCTCTTGACCGGCGCTTGAAATTAATTACGCCCAAGGTGGGCGTAAGAGACAGGGGAGGGGAGGGAGAGGGGGCAACGAAGCCCGTAACCGGAAGGATAATGAGCGAGAATCCGACGGGGTGTGTACGATGGTGTGCGCGCATACACTTATATATACACTTATATATNCCGACAGCCACGGGCTTCTTCCAATACTTTGTAAGTTTATTTGTATGATCCGCGAATACTTTGTATCTTTATTTATATGAAATCGGATGGCGGATCGGAAGGCTCTCTCCCCTCGTCTTTGCTCCCTCCTCGTGTCGCTCGTGTCATCGCCTCCCCGTTTCCTCCCTCTTGACCGGCGCTTGAAATTAATTACGTCCAAGGTGGGCGTAAGAGACAGGGGAGGGGAGGGAGAGGGCGCAACGAAGCCCGTAACCGGAAGGATAATGAGCGAGAATCCGACGGGGTGTGTACGTGTGGTGTGCGCGCACGTATATACTTATATATACACTTCGAATAACCGTGATCGAGAACTGATTTCCCTTTCTCGCGCTTCGTTTTTTTGCGTGCTGGCCTTCTCCGGGATATATAGTATACGTATATATATATATGTACTTTCCTTTATCGAGCCTCGAGAAATTTAGATCGGATGGAGAGAGGGAGAGAGAGAGAGAGAGAGAGAATTATTGGCCGGGATTCGTTTACGTTTACCGCCTCGCGAATTTATTCCTATACGGCTCGATACGGCGTTTCAATTACGCGTGTGTATAACAACGGTCTCATTAGATCGTAGGAATAGAGAAGAATATTTCATTTTCCTCTTCGGAAAGATTCGTTTCTATTTAAACAGATTTCCAATACCGATTCTTTTTTCAATAATATCACCACTAATTATTCGTCGATTCGTCGAACCTGCTTCGAATCAATGCGAAAATACAACGATCCACCCCTTCGTTCAATATTCACCTCCCTTCCCCCCAACCGAAAAGAGAAAAAAAAAGAAGAAAAAGAACTCTCGACGATCTTCTGGAGGAGGAAGGAGGGGAGGGGGGCAAGCTTTCCACCCGAGTAACGGCAATTAAAACTAGGAGCAGAGCGAGGAAGCGAGGGCGAGACGAAGTGGAAAGAGGCGAAGAGGAGTCTCCTCCCCCCTCCCCCTCCTTTCGATAAACCGTGGCGATAAGCTCGGCTCCAAACATTTGCCCGCGATAAGATCCCGTATCTCCTGAGAAAGCCCGGTTTTTATGCTCGTGCACGTTCTCCGTGTCCGTTTCTCCGCGAAAGCAGCCACCACCACCACCACCACCACCACCATCACCACCATCACCTCAGCAGTGTTGTTGTGTTGTTCGATACAAGCGAGGGAGTGGGAGTGGGAGTGGGAGAGTGACGGCGAGAGCGGGTGTCCCGGGAGGGCGACAAGGATGGAGGGAGAGCGGCCGCGTCTGGCAATGGGCCCACGGTTGGTGTGTTGTGTGTTGTGTAGTACCGGCTTCAGATAGAGATAGCTATTTTTAATGGAAGTTCCTTCGAGTGGTCGAGCGTCGATAGCCGACCGGCTATCTACCGGCTGATATTTTTAATATCGGAAACGGGCAGATGGGGTGGCAGGGTAGGGAAGGGAGAGAGAGAGAGAGAGCTTGCTAGATAAGTCCTCTCTCTTCTCCCTGCCGATAGCGTCTCTCTTTTCCATTCTCGTTCCTCTCCCCCTCCTCTCCGCCTTTC